TATGGGTCCAAGGACAGAGCCTTGGGGGACCCCACTGGTCACGGGGCACCGTGACGATCGACTTCCATCAATTACCACCTTCTGGGTCCTACCACAGAGCCAGTTTCCCAGCCAGCAGATTGTGGTGGACTCAAGGCCACAGTTGGCCAGTTTCACCAAGAGGTGATTATGGGATACCAGATTGAAGGCGTTTTTGAAGTCAGGAAATATGACATCAATCTCTTCTCCCTTGTCCAAGGTGGTAGGTCACCTGGTCGTAAAAAGAAATGAGATTGGTCAAGCAAGACCTACCCGCAACAAACCCATGCTGGCTATCCCTCAGGATGTTGGTGTTGGCCAATCCATTAAGGATGGCCTCTTTAATAAACTTTTCTAAGACCTTCCCTGAGATAGAGGTCAGGCTGATGGGCCTGTAGTTTGCCGGATTCACTTTCCTCCCTTTCTTGAAGATAGGCACCACATTGGCCTTCTTCCAGTCTTCGGGCACTATACCAGAGCGCCAGGAGTTCATTCCTATAATTCATTTAGTAGTGACGTGTGTGTGTGTGTGTGTGTGTGTGTGTGTAGTGCACACATGCACATGCGCACACACAGGATGGCTGCGCAAAGCTTCAGTCGCTGATTCAATTTGATGATTTGGACATAGCTTTGAATGTTTTTTCTACATACCTCAAGGTATGAGGTGGCTTGTGAATGCTGAGATGGAAACACTTCTGGTCCGCTTCTAGGTCTGCCGGAGAGTGCACGGGACACCCCTCTCCCTGCCCCCCAGCTTGGCAACTGGTGCCTCTTGGGTCTGGGGGGGCACCCAGGGTCCCCCTGCGGCTGATTGCTGAGCTGAGGGAGTTGGGGGGTTCCGCCACATGATCCATTAGGACGCTCCATCCACCCCACTATCTCAGCATTCACAGGCCTCACCTAGTACCTCAAGGTATGTAGAAAAAACATTTAAAGCTGTGTCTGTGGCCAAATTGCCGATTCTCCGAATCAGCATCGAGTCTTCAGATTCAGATTCGGCTGAATTGAATTGGGACAGTGATCTGAATCAATGAATTAAATCACTGTCCCCCGAATCGGGGTGAATCTGAATCGAATATGGCTCGCTTCGCGCACAACTAGTATCCAGTTCATTATAGTAGGATAAAGCAATGTCTGTCTGTCTGTCTATTGCTTCATTTTACTTCGATATGCCAAACCTAAATTAAAGTGTTTTTCTTTGAGCATTGTAATTGGGTTATGCCTTGTGTATACTCTTTGCTAAGATAGAATATCCTGGAATGCTGTGCATAGCTCAGGATGCATAGTTTCGGCTTTTAATCAAATGCATGTTTTCTTAAAACAGTTGTCCTCAAGAGTATCAGGTTGGATGCTGTTGATACTCAGTACAATGCAGCTGCATTCTTAGTGTGAGTGCCAACCACTCTATATCAAGTTCTTTACTGTGGTATTTGAACAGCTATAATGAGCTACAGTCCAAATTCTTAGGTTTCTCCTTTCTACATGAGGGTTCTTGAGGGTATGATATATTTTACTGTTCTGTTCATTCTTATTTTAAGGGTCAGATATTTTTGTTTGTTTATTTAATAATACACATATTGATTAAATTCCATAGTTTGAGTCAGCTCTGTGCAGTCTCTACCTTACTTTGAGTTTTTGATTTCTACTCAAGGCTTCTTGATCAAGAAGCCCAGGCACTCAGGCTGCCTATACATGTGCCTGTGGGTGGGTGGGGGGGAACGTTTTCATTAGAACAGTTCTTGGAGAGCTGCTTTAATTAAAACGCCTCACTGTCATGTCTGTTAAGCCCCCGTGGGTTTAAAAATGGCCATGGGACACGTCATCTAAACCTGATTCAATGAGGCTTAGATAAAGCGCCCCAGTGGCCATTTTTAAATCCACAGGGGCTTATACAGACAAAGTTCTTTGGGTCAGTGTGTTATCTTTTATTAGACAAAAATAAAAGATATCACATTTACTTGTCTGTCTATGTCCTTGGACCAACACGGCTACAGCCAACGACCCCAGGGGCTTATACATGTGACAACAAGACCATGCTGAAGCATTCTAATTAGAATGTGGAACAGACTTGATTAATCTAGTCTGGTCTGATATGCTCTAACTAGAATGCAAACCAACACATGTATAGGCACTTTCAGGTTTTAAGCATCATGCTTCCTCGTATAGAAGTGCAACAAGCTGTTTCTGCACCCTGGGCAACAGTGGCAGCAGTGAGCAGGACAGCAGTGGCAGTGACAGCTATTCTTGTGCCCTCTCACAATCAGTCACTGGGGCTTGATGGCTCAGTCACCCACCCCTAATTATGCAACTGGATAGAAAGAGGTTTGTTATGGATCAATATATTTTCTGCCTTCTTTCTTTTGCCAGAGAAAGGGAGGAGATGGGTGATAGTTCAGTCCTGTAAAGAGGATGAAAATTGCTTAAAATAATTACATAATAAGGAAGCTTGCAACTTTCAAGGCCAGTACCCAAATACAAATCTGAGTCACCAAATTCATTTTTTTTGTCAGCATTCTGACAGACTTTAATGATGTTTTATTCACACACACTGAAGAAGTAGGTTTCAGAAGGTTTTAGAGGATATGCCGATACAGTCTATGACTTAAGAGATGCTTAAGAAAAAGGACCATAGATCAGTGTCTATGTGATTAGCTTCACTAATTGGGAAAAGGTTTAGTTCCAGCAGAGGGTGGTGTGGGCAATGTCCTAGATATAATTCAGGAGATCTGTGCATTGCTGAACATCCTTTAATGAGGGCTTCCTCTTGCTACTTCCCATACATTCAGCTATTCACAATTGTGTACATCTGAAAGTGCCACAAACAAGTCTGTGGAAGGAACTCTTAAGAATAATTTATCTTCACCTTTTGACAACATGATTTGTACTTACTTCACCCCTTCAAATGTTTTCACAACCATATTGGATAAATGACAACAGCATTGCCATAAAACCCTTAGAAGTCTTGTACAGGATGCATGACCTCCTATTATTCTGGAATTACAGAAAAGGGAGAATGACCATCAAAACTGTAGATCCTTCTTGCAGAAGCTGGTGACTTTTTATACATTGCTTCTTTTACCACTCTGTTCAACAAGCCAGACAAAACATGTCCTTAAGTAAGAATTTGATCATTCGTAGATGCATTTTGTTTTTGGATCACCAGGCATTTCAGTGGTTGTAGGATAGACAGCAAGGGTGATTATTCTCAGACAATTCTACAAGCAAGGATTGACGGATGCCTCTGTTTATTTGATCAGAGGTTGTGTACTTCTTGGTTAGCTTAGCATTGGGTAATTAGGAATTGCTAGGCACTGCTGGCATGACATGCCTTCTAGTGGGATTAGCTTCTTCCACTCTCATAACACTTTCTAAAGCAGGAAGAGAGCCAGAAAAGATTTATGGCCAAATCTATATTCTTTACTCTGCCAAGCCTAGGATCACTGCCAAGAAACAAACTCTGCCCACTCACTCTTGCTCTGCCCACATCCAAGCTTGGCAATTAGACAGTGTAGACACTCTAAAAAAGGGCTCCTGTCTCTTCTGAGACAGCAGGTCTAAGAATAGTGCTGGGGCATACACTAAGGACCTCTGCTAAGCTGTCTACTCTGGCTAATTGTGAGGCTTGAATAAAGGAGGAGTGGAATGGAGTGAGTGGGGCTTATCTTGTCAGTAGTTTTGCATTTGGCATGGAGATGATATAAACATGGCCTTTACCCCATTCCATTCCATGGTATTCCCCAGAGATCCTTCCTCATCCTTTTTCCTGAGTTCCAGTTCATAAGCTAACTGGAGAGCTAACCTAACTTCTTGTGTCAAAAAAAAGATGACCTACAATGTCAAATGAACAAGTTTCTTATTCCTGTGACTTCATTGCTTCCAAAAGTAAAAGGAGGAAATTGTCCTGTATTAGTCATGAAAGCAGGAGTGTATTAATAGGTTGAGATTCATATGGTGACACAAGTCTCTAATCCTCTCTCTAAACTCATTCATTTGGTCTGAAGTTCATGATCATAATGATACCTTTTCCTTTCTGGGAGTTCCGCACCTCCAAAGATCATTGTTAAATGTACATGACAGTGATGAAAACTCACTCGAAAACATGGTGGGCTTTCTATATAAGTAGATGGTGGAAGACTTCCTTCTGTATGTAAGTGAATTATAGTCTCTCTTTTTCCCTCTCCCTCTTCCCCCCCCCCCCCCCAAAAAAAAAAACAAAACAAAAAAACCCCAACCCCCAACCAAATACTTCTGTTGGCTAAGTCTAAGGAAATTTAGGCAGATTGGAACATGTCAGACTGATAGCTTCCACCTGGATTCCTCAATACTCATTTTTGGACTGCCTAGTATTGGCACAGGAAGATTCATCTACCAAATGTCTTCTAAATCTTCTAGCAAAAGGTCTAAATTTTGGCAGTCTGATTCATGTTACACTACTGTACTGTCTGAGAGCTCCCAAGGACTTGGAAAAAATCCTTCTGGAGATTTGTAACTTCTGTACAAGAAAAATCTCTGCTTTAAAATGGAAGAATTATTTCTAGGTTTTCACTACTCATCTTTTCCTTTAATTAGATCGTTTAATTATGAAGGATTTTGAACTCTGGAGAACTGTTAAACTTATTTGTCTAATGTCATTTGCTCTAAGAATCACAATGTTTACTTATCCTGTTGTAAAGACATTTTGGAAAGGACTATCACTTTATACACATATGTAATAGGGATAAAAACAGGAATAATGTAGTTGTTGGTAACCCATTGTATATATTTTGCCAAACACACAATACCAGCTGCTTAAAATTAAATTTAAAAAGATTATATATTTATATTTATACTTGCAGCTGTCCTATGGGAGGGGAGGAATATACATATAGATATTGCTGTTAACTGCAGAAAAACCATTCATTGGGCATAGATACAATGGCATAATACTGAAACAAAAAACTTTAATGTAAGCATTTTGCATTTATTTGATTAAAAAATTTCAGGATGGTTCAACAGTTTTCAGTGGACTTTGAAAAAAGAATTGAAGGATCAGGGGACCAGGTTGACACATTAGAACTGTCTGGTGGTGCCAAAATCAATCGCATTTTCCATGAGCGTTTTCCTTTTGAACTAGTAAAGGTATGTGTCTGTCTTTCCTCCTTCCTTTCAATTTTACTAGTAGGTTTTCATGTGCATATTAACAGTGGCAAGGGGAATTTCCATTTCATTTGAAGAGGGTACTTTAACAGGAAAACCCTTAATCAAAAGGAGCCCATTACACAAAAGGAAGACTGTCACTAACCCACAGAAGAAAAATGTTTTTATTTCTGGTTCTGAACACTGAGAAGCAATCTCAGTACCATGTAATTTTCAAAACTTACTCATAATGCTAAAATAATTTTAAAATGGCTCAGAGCACAATGTTCACTTTGTCTCTAGCAATGGATATTTCCTATTTGCTCACTTCATAGCTCAATTTAATTTGCAATGTGTTCTCAAATTTGTAATGAATCTCACTTTGTAATAACAGTAACTTCATATTTTCAGGTGTACAGCTGTTTTCCTCCCCCTCCCCCCCAGTAGCCAAATTTGGATAGACGTATTGTCTCTTCTCACACATACCTTGCACAATTAGTTTTGATAGAATTGAATTTTTACATCTAGGATCCTGCATTTCTCTATCTACTTGGCAAAATGTCCAAATTAGCTTTTGTGTCTGTCTTCTGTCTTGTTTTTTACCATGCTCCCTGCTTTTCCCATGGTTCTTTCACAGTTGGCTTCTCTCCAGTATCCTCCTTCTGGATAGGTTGAGCAGGTAAACAATTGCAACTGATATGACACAGTTTCTCATGTTCAAGAGGCTACTACCTAAGTGCGTCTTTTAAGACGAGAGCTGTGGAAATTAACTATGTTTTGGGAGGTTTTGCTACTTTAATTTAGAGTGGAAAACAAGCAATCTTTCCTCCCCAAATGTTCATAGGAGGGAAGAAATACGTTTTTGAAAACTGTTTTTTGTTCTGCTTCAGTCACCAGCCCCCACACTTCTGCCAAGCCTGCAGATAAGTTGTAACGAGAATGGAATAACAGAATTTTTTTTAAAGATGGAGTACACTTCTGTTAAAGTAGCTCTTCTCAAATGTTATAGATCTGGATTTGTCTGGTTCTCTAATAGGATGCTCTGCAGAATTATTTCAGCCAGAAGTTTGTTTGGAATGGAAAATGTAGTCCAGTATGTCTCACTTTCAACAATTGGTCTTGCCTTCACAGCTTTGAACTTCTAAAATTACTGTGTATAAAGACTTCACTTTCTTTTACAATAGTTACAAACGGGTATATCAGTGGCCTGCTGAGTTTGTTTAGCAAGTTGAGTTTTCATGTTGTTTGGCTCTGTTTCACAAGTTTAATATTTGCTAGTTTTTATTTAAACGTCCATTCATTAAATATGCTTTCAATTTTCTTCTAGATGGAATTCAACGAGAAAGAACTGCGGAGAGAAATTAGCTACGCAATCAAAAATATACATGGTATCAGGCAAGTGCTTCCCATTTCTGTAGGTTCAGACACATATGTGGAAAACAATCTTTTAAATTCATATACACTTATCACTTTCTTATTTAGTTGCTTAAAAAGTCTTTTTATTTCTCTTTACGTGTTTTTGTTTTTAACATAGCCATTAGGGTCATTGGCCATGCCCATTGCTTTGCAAAGACATACCAAACTTGTCTGAAATATTTAAAGAGTTCAGGTACAGAGCAGTTCGATGAAATTGCTTCTGGTTGTACTGTTTGCTTTGGTGTTGCGGCCTGCTCCAATAAAACAAGATATTTATGTAGCTCCATGCTGTTTGCACTTAATGGGATTGATTGAAGCCACGAATTCAGAATAGTGTGATTCTGTACTGATGTTCCTTTTTGTGATTTTTTTTTTGATTGCACTTGCTATAGAACATAACTGGTAGGGAAAAAAGCTACATGAAATGTTGAACATATATAAGTCATTAAAATGGAGTAAAACCTTAATTGAAATCGTATTTATTTGGCCTTAATGCCCACACATGAGGGTGAAATGGAACAATATATGTGAAGAGCTGAAGTGCCACTCTTAGAGTTTTTACAAATACAGTATAATTAGATCCTTTCATACAATGTAGATGACAATTCCTTTGGTTCCTTTCATACAATTTTAGAAGAACTTAATTCCTTAAAAAAATAAAAGAAGAACAAAAACTACTTATATTTCCTTTAAGAATTGTTTGTAGATATTCCCTTCATGAGCAGTGCACATGCCCTCAGTGGTTAAATAAGGTCCCACTAGAAAGTGGAGAGGGCAAGGCACAAGGTCAGATGTCAAACCTTGGAACTTGGCATGTTGGAACTGTACACAGTGCTATTTGAATTTAGGATGTTGATACTATGGCATATGGGTTGAGCTCTGTCCCTGAAATCTGGCAGTTACACATGATTTAGGCCATGAATCCTTGTACTGATTTACTGTTAGTGCAGATATTGCACACAATATGGCTTGTCATAGTACAAGACCCTCTGCTTGTCTTGCAGAATAGCTTTGATGCTCTGTTGAAGCATTCATGCTTTTCTTGCCTTTTGAATTCTACCATGGGGAAAATGGTTGGTTCTGTAATCAAGGTGCCAGAACCCACTGGGAAGACATGTTCTGGGATGCATCTTATTTATTTTGAGTTTTAAGTGGTTCATACTATTCAGCTATAGGTAGTGCCCATATTTGCTAATTTGGAGAAAAATGACCAAGTATACTCAAAGGTGTATAAAAAAAGTGAAACCCAGTGAACTGGGGGATTGCGCAGCCTTTTATAACAAGGTGGTATGGGACTATTGCTCCTTTTTGTTTATAGTCATATCTATGGGTATGTCTCCATTGCAGGATAATGTAGACATATTCAGGCTAGATCATCAGCAGCCTACCCCCAGCAGTGTGAAGTTCTGTGCAGGCTACTTTACACTGAGAAACCTGTACAGAGCACCATGGCTTCTGTTCTGGTACTTGAGATTAGCTTGTGTACCTCTATGCTACCCTCCTAGGTATTACCTCCTAGAGATATCTTCAGGATCCTTATACTTGCAGATCACCAACCAACAGGGCTACCTTCCTAGGTCTTATCCCTCTATTTTAGCTCTGAAGCCAGGAGTTAGTCTGCTTCTAATTAAACTGCTTCCACGTTCAGGACTTTTCCCCCAGCTGAGCTTTTCCAGCCACTTTTACAGGAAGCTCAACTCTTTTGGAATTGTGCCCAATAATTTTGACTCAACTTAATCCCCTCCAGATGCAGCCATGATGGCTAATTATTCCCGTCCCCATTAACTCTTTGTTTACCAATATGCAGTTTGTGGATTGTATCACATAAGAGGGAATCAGAATTGGAGTATAATATACATCAATAACAGACTTCTGCTGACAGAACAGTATTGTATGGTCCTCTACTGGACCACACCAATTCCCATTTGCAATTTATATATTTCTCAGACTGCATAAAGCATATAAATACATCTCTATGTCATCTGTATTTGCGTTACTTTTTAACTGCTAGCTACCTGAAACTGATGCTCCTGATTAGACTTAAGTCATTGTTATGACTGTTCTCTATAGAAAGTTTCATTTTCATGCCATTTCTCCCCAATTTTTTTTTAAATCCCAGATGCCTATAAATATCCCATATGACAGTCTGAATTGACTTTCGAGATGATTAAAGTTCTTTCATGGTTTATGGCTTGGTACACATCATCTGTAAAAGGTGCACAAACTTATAATAGGACATTGTTTCTAAACAAATTTTACTGAAAATCATAGAAAATGAGGGTTCAAAGGGACCTCAGGAGGTCTAGTCCAACCCCCTACTCAAAACAGGACCATCCCCAACTACATCATCCCAGCCAAGGCTTTGTCTAGCTGAATGTTAAAAACCTCCAAGGATGGAAATTCCACAGCCTCTCTGGGTAACTTGTTCCAGTGCTTTATTTACCCTCCTCATGAGAGGTTTTTTTTCCAAATATTTTTTTCCCTAATATCTAACCTAAACTTCCCTTGCTGCAACTTGAACCAAAAACTCTTTCAGCTCAGAATGAGATCTGTGGAGTCCTGGATAAAGACAATATATTGCAATCTGAGAACTGCTTTTTAAAGAAACAAAACTCAGGAAACTCATACTGTCAGGGAACTTAGGCCACTCATTGGTTCTCATCTGTGGAGCTGTTCAGTTAGGACTCTGCGCGTGCCATCTGTAAGCACAAAGACTTTGGAAATCCAGAGAGACAAAGGTTTATTAATCTCTTGGAATTTGGAGCAATTTATCTTCCTTAAATCAGTGACAAATTGGTACCAATTTTGACGCACGTCACCACAGCCATGTAGTGTATCAACTAATGAGAGGGAGTTCATTCTTGATGTTTATGTCAAGAAACTGTCAAGCCTTGGGAGTGGTACATTCCATATCATGTTGCACCTAGGGCTCTCCATTTTCTTTGAAAGGACACATCCTGGCAGGTTGTCTCATTTGGAATTTCAATCTCAGCATGAGTGCTTTTTCAAAAACTTGGCCATGTCAATATTCCAAAAGTCTGGAGACCCTGCTCTTTGTTTTGAAGGAGAACTCCGTGTGCCTCCAGTTTTGTCCCAGAGAAGCAGCAATCCAAAACTATTGATCAGCACCTTCATATTAGCCTAGGTCCATATATTGCTTTTTTATGTTTACCCTTTACTAGGGCTGTGTGAAACGGCACCATTCCATTTTGACTTGCGTTTTGATGTTTCGGTGGAATGGCGTTTTGTTTCAAATTTTGTTTCGATTCAAAACTGCTGTTCCATTTTGTTTTCTCAAAACAGTTTCGCTGTTTCGACGTTTCGCCCATAGGCTATAATGGGGAAGCTCGAAACAGTCTATAACTTTGTCATTTCTAGCCTGATTTAGATGAAACTTGCAGGAATGGTAGCCCGTTCTGAGGGCATGAAGCCTGCCAAGTTTCAAGGAGATAAATAGGTGCGGGGGTTTCAGGGAAACTTCACCTCAATGTCTTGAAAGCAAAAAAAAACCTCATGTCATGTGTATGTGTTAAGCCACAGCAGGGTTAAAACTGCAGACATGGCAGGCTTCGTGACCTCACCAGGGGCTAGCAAGTTTCAAGGAGATAAGTGCAGGGGTTTGGGGGACCCTGCCCCTCAAGCTGCGGACAAGCAAAACTCATGACATGGGTGACACTGTGTGTGTTAAGGTGCAGCAGGGTGAAAGTTGCAGGCCTGCTAGGCCCTCCTGTGGCCACGAAACCTGCCAGCTGTCAAGGAGATAGGTGCAAGGGGAGTCTGGGTTCTGGGGCCCTGCACCTCTAGCTGCTGACCAGGCAAAACTCATGACATGGGTGGGTGACACTGTGTGTGTGTTAAGGTGCTCCCTCACTCAACTGACACCAAGGCAGAAAGCAGGGCAGTTCAAACAATGCTGCCTTTTATGCAGTTTTTCCACCCCCCCGCCAGAGCACTGGGATTGGAAGAGACCTCAGGAAAGGATGACAGTCACTGGCCAGCTACACGGTCAATAATGAGAGCAGTCCTTCCCTCCCCACCTTCCTCCCTGTACCCCCTCCCTCTCCTTACTTTAGTTTCTGTTTCCCTGCAGGCAAGCCCAGCTCGAGCTTTGAAGCTGTAAATGTTTCGAAAATTTTGAAATGTTTCGACTTGCCTCGTTTCATTTCGAAGCTCTCTGTTTCATTTCAATGTCACTGTTTCGAGCTTGAAATGAGTCAAAACCGTGTCAAAACAAAACTTCTGGCAAAATTTTGCACAGCCCCTTTACGTCTCCATGAAACCCCCTGCTGAATTTTGCTAAATAATCAAATGGGGGTAAGGTGGAAATGAAACTGTCATTCCTTCTTTGGGCATATCAGTATTGATATTTGGATCTATTAGTCTTGTTGTTGAAAGGTCCAGTCTGCCTTTCAGGTTTTCCAGATCTGTTTTATAGTGGTAAAGCCAAATGCACCATCCAGTTGATTCCTGAGTATCAGAATGTGGCAAGTTAGTGTCAGATTTGGAGTCCTATCAAGCTGTTCAAACAAATATTTCTGAAAGGTCATAAGTCTTTGAGGAAAACCCGTCATGAAATGGCACAGTTGTTTTTTTCCAGTTTATGCTGCTGACCAAATCTGTTTTCCTTCCATTGCTTCAATTTATATTATTGTTGGCTGTTTCTCTAAATGTCTGATTTACTAATTAGATCAGGGAAGACTCACTTTTTTGTGGACACATCTGTAGTCTTGTTATACTTGGGATCGGAGAGATTCAGCTTGGGGTGGGTCATTTCTCTTATCTTATTTGGGAATTACTGGCCTTTTTCTGCTTAGTATTGATATATAGGATTTCAAATAGACAATTTTTGAAATATTGATGATAATGCAACTGTCTAGTGGAAACAACCACTCATATTTGCACATCCTACTATAAAACAATTTCTGAAAGGACTGTCTTATAGGCTACTCAGGACTCTCTTATATACTAACTCAGGAGCAGATGAGTTGAACTGAAATTGAAATTGGTCTTCATGTTTACATTATCACTGCTTGACCCCTTTGGAAAATATTCTTTGCATCACTTTTATATAAAAACTATGTTGCTGGTTTCTATATTGTTAACAAGGAGAGTGGGCAAGAACTAACCCATGAAAGCTGAATTCCCTTATAAAGATGATGTGATATACTATCCTTTACTTGATTACTGGCTAAACCTGAACTCCACACAAACCAGATGAAATTTTTGTACTTTTTCTGAATCATGTAATTTACCAGGGAGGCAGGATTACTGTGATCCAGATTAGTGTTTCCCAAGCCATCAGCTGCCCTTTCTTGAGGCAGTTCTGAGTTGGAAATACCTGAGTCTTTACTCAAATCTAAGATGAGGCTTCCCCTGTCCCCATTTAACTGGGGACAGGGGAAGCCCGTTATCTTGGATTTGAGTATAAGGTGGCAGGTGTCTGCTGTGGTTCTGGGCTTGACTTGGGGCTGGGGTCAGAGCTGCAGTAACTTCCCACTTGCCTCTCCACCACCTCTGCCCCTGCCGCTTACCATCGCTCTAGCTCTGGCAGGCTGTGACAGGGGGCAAACTCGAGGCTAGGTCACAAGCAGTTTTGGAAGGAGAAATAAAGGCTAGAGCAGGGATAGGCAACTCCTGGCGCGCATGCCAGAGCATGATATGCAAAGACACTTTCCTTGGCATGTTCACCTTGGGGAAAGGGCTGGGGCTGCGCTGCCACAACCAAGGATTGGGCCCCTCATGGCTCCCCGCACTGTCCGTCCCTGGCCCTTCAACATCTTACAAGTCAAAGCTGCATGTGTTTTTGGCACTCTCACCAAAAAAGTAGCTGCCCCTGGGCTAGAGTCTCTAGTTCTACAAGTTGTCTGCTTGTATATGTCCACACAGCTTGGATGGAAAGTTTATATGTAACTTTCTATGCACATTGTCAGACATTTGAGAATGCAGCTGCCCTAAATGTCATTCTTTTTAGGTGGCTTTGACACTCTGCTCTGGTATGGGATTATTTCACAAAAGAATTGTCAGGTTAAGTTGATGTAAAAAAAATTTTTTTTTGGAACGTTCTTATTCTTCAACCTAGTAAACAAATTAATTTATATTAAATCTTCTGATATGAGGACAAACAAGCAGAATGAGTTCCATGCTCATTCCAATTTTTATTCAGCTGTTTTTATAGCGCTGTAAAGCTTTGAAAAGAAAGAGATTAATAATATGTTGGGTATGAAGACAAGTATTTACCTAAACCATATATGCACATATGGCAGAATTGTAAGACATATCAGCATCTCAGCACAAACCTATTCATTTTTAATTTTGTAATCCACATCCCGTATAACTGACATGTCAAAACCCCAGTGGTCCTCTCCACATTTGTCAGGAAAGATTTAAATAGTAGAGATACTGCTTTAGTGAGTCCTAGCATTACTAAGACTGTTCAACTTTACAAACTAAACTAAAAAATATGATAATATACTATAATTGGTTACCATAATTAAGAAAAAATTGTCAAATAAATACTCTCTATTTTTTGGTTTATATTCTTTTCAAATAGTTGAGCTGTAGAGTACTTTAAGCTAACCATCCAACTTGCAACTTACAGAATTCTTTTGTTCATATCATCATGATGCTTGGGATTCTGTACTGTGCTTTCATTCAAGTTATGTTCTTTTCTATAAAGTCTTTCTTCAGTATCTTACATGCTTTATTATATGTCCACAGAACAGGTTTGTTTACTCCAGACATGGCCTTTGAGGCTATAGTTAAAAAACAGATAGTGAAGCTGAAAGGGCCTTCCTTAAAAAGCGTGGATCTGGTGATGCAAGAGTTAATCAACACTGTCAAGAAATGCACAAAAAAGGTAACTTCTGAATGGATTCACTAATACTTGAAATATTCTGTTAACCTGCTATTATGGTAGATAACTTGTTTCACAAATAAAGATTAACTTTTTATGTAACCAGTAGTTATATACAACTCATGATGGGTTTTGGTGCTTAAAAAAGTTTATTTTTGGGTCCTGTATCCTCACTATATTATCTATGTCAGTTGATTCTGCATTCAATTGTATAACCATATTACCCTCATTCATATTGCACAGTTGTTACTTAGGGCATAATATGAACAGAGCAGGATCTCCTCAGTGCCCTTACCAGTGAAACCTAGCTAATAGTTCTATAGCTGTGTAAGGCAAAAAAACCCCCAACCAATCCAGATCTAAAGTTATCATTGCAGCATGGACAAAAGTAAAGTAGAAGAATAATTAATTTGCTAATAAGGATGAGATTCCAAATATGCCTCAGGAGCAGATTTGCCAAATATAGATTTCATATAGAACCTCTTTGCACTATAACCATTTTTAAATCCTCAAAGAACTAATGAGCAGGATTTTACTCTCCTGCGCTGTTCATCATATACACAGATTGACAATTCATAATCTGGAGTTTTTCCAGAGGCTCGAAGGGGGAGACCCGAGATGATCTAGTTTTCCCTTTGTTTTGTGCACACATTCACAAGTGTGAGTTCTGCACATAGGTAGAAGGGTGACCTAGTCTCTTGAGCACTGCCAAGAGTGTGTAGCAGACTAATTTAATTTGAAAAAAATCTGCTGTGCAATTAGCTTCCATTAGGTGAAAAGTGTATGTACTCGAAGGGTGCATCTGCAGGTGCAGTTAGCCTGCCAGCCCAAGGCTGCTCCGCCCCGGCTCAGTATGCTGCAGGGGGGGCTGGCTGGGGCATGAGAGCGCTACAGTATGGGGCTAACCGGCAGGTAGCCTTAGCACCTTTGTGCCTCAGCCAGCCCTGGTCACTGTCTGCATGTGCGTTTCAGCGCACGTAACTACTCCACTGTAGGATAGTACTTGTCCCAGACAGTACTATCCTACAGTGGAGTTAATTAACCTATTGCACTCCAATATGGGAGTGCATGTAGATCAGGGGTGGGCAAAATGCAGCCTACGGGCCAGATGTGGCCCACCAAGCCATTCTATCTGGCCCGCGGGGCCCCTAAAAAATTTAGAAAATTAATATTTTTCTGCCTCTGGCTGCCCGTCATGCAGCCCTCGATGGCTTGCCAAAACTCAGTAAGCGGCCCTCCACTTAAAATAATTGTCCGCCCCTGGTGTAGATGGTGTCATTTTACTGTGGAGTTAATTAGTCAGCTCTGCAGTAAAGCACACGTGTAGATAAATCCAGAGAGACCTTCCCAACAGATATAATAAAATAGCAGACTCCTTTGGTATTAAATACTAAACATAATTTTAGAATGAATCTCTTGACTACTGGTCTGTTATAATGTATGCAAACGTTTTGTTTCCTTAACACAAACAAACAAAAAATCCAAAGCCTTATTTTCCTATTGTGACAAAAAGTTTAAGGTTTGGTACGTAGCTGAATAACTTGCAGATATCAAAAATCAGATGCATGTTCCTCTATTGCAGGGGATAGCCTTTTCAGAAGTCACAGTGGTTCCATCTGATCCACTATCCTCTCTGCCAGTGTTCTTCAAAGGTTCTCTTTAACTTTCAACCTGTTGCAGGCTATCTTTTTGCCTCTCAATTACCCTATAAAGGGTGAAACACCCTTTAATCTCTTGATATTTTTACACTGTATAATATAAACTATTGTTTACATAAATATATAATCCTTTGAATTCTAATCTCTTGATTTCTGTCTTCAGTGGCAGTGTGTTCCACTGATCAGTTATATTGAATAAATATGTTTCCTTTTAGATTTGTTGCTGTTTTACTTCTTTTACTGCTACTTTGTTTTAATATAAGTGGGGAAATGTGAACTTTTGATTTGCTTTTTCTGTCATTCATTATTTTCTGTTCCTTTGCTATGTCATCTCTTAGTCTTCTCATTAAACTATGCATTCCTTTTTTATAAAAAGTTAAGTTTTATTGGTCTGGGGAGAGTTTTATATACCCCTCCATTTGGGAGTTTTTCCATGTTGCTGTTCTTTTTCACTGCCCTTCTCTGGATCGTTTCTATGCCTACTAGATCCTTTTTCAAGATGGGGTGAACAGAACTGACTGCAGTATTCAAGGTGAGGGCATGCTATCAATTTTGGTCATGGCAATGTAATCAGTAATACTCTCTTCCTTTCATAATACAATCTAACTTCGTATTTACTTTTTTTATTTCAGCTGCACATTGGTTGCCTTTTTCTTCAGTGGTGCATAGCTGTTCCTCCTGATTAGTCATGGTTATAGATTTCATAGACATTAGGGCTGGAAGGGACCTTGGAAGATCATCAAGTCCAGCCCCCTACCCGAAGGGCAGGAAGTCAGCTGGGGTCATAGGATCCCAGCAAGATAAGCATCCAGTTTGCTCTTGAAGGTGTTTAATGTAGGCGCTTGAACCACCTCCGGTGGCAGGCTGTTCCAGACCTTGGGGGCTCAGACAGTAAAGAAATTCTTCCTTATGTCCAGCCTGAAATGGTCTTGTAGTAGTTTATGACCGTTCGACCCAGTCATCGTCCCTAGGGGCGCTCTGGTGAACAAACGTTCCCCCAGATACTGGTGGTCACCCCTGATAAACTTGTAGGTGGCCATCAGATCACCCCTGAGCCTGCGCTTTTCCAGGCTAAAGAGCCCCAGGGCTCTCAGCCTGTCACTGTAGGGTCTGCTTCCCTGACCTCTGATCATGCGCGTGGCTCTTCTCTGGCCTCTCTCAAGCTTCTCCACATCCTTTTTGAATTGTGGAGCCCAAAACTGGACGCAGTACTCCAGCTGCGGCCTCACCAAGGCCAAGTACAAGGGGAGAATGACGTCCTGGGATTTGCTTGAGAAGCATCTATGGATGCAAGCCAGCGTTTTGGTCGCTTTACTAGCCGCAGCATCGCATTGCAGGCTCATGTTCATCTTGTGGTCAATGATGACCCCCAAGTCTCTTGACTTAGGGTCACAGCTAAGTCTAAGAGACTCGCTCCTTCCACTGTACATCACCTTCTAGTTATTTTTTGTGAATTTAATATGCAGTGGTGTCGCCCAGTCATCTTGCATGGTTAGGGCTTCTTGTAATTCTTGGCTTACTTTGCTCCTGACTCATAAATAATTGTCATCTGATATTATTACCATTTGAACAGTCACTCTTACCCAGACCACCATTCCCAGTACAGATTCTGAGGGCACTTCATTATAAGCATCCTTTTATGATGGAAACTTATAATTTATTTCCTGTATTTTCTGTGTTTTGTTTTCTTGGATCTCTTAATAGACCTCCAGATACCTGGCTGACCTTAATCTATTTTCTTATTCTTATTCTAAGATTTATTGATTTTCCTTTATAGAAGCATGAGTGTAATGGATACAGTATTGGTTATCTTCAGACTCTTTTATAGAACAGCTGAGGTTTTTTTATAATAGGTTAATTTCCATATTGGATTATTTACTTCATTCTTGTATACCTACAGAATTCCTTGTATGGTGTGTGACTCTAATAACCCTTTTAATTTTCTTCCAGTACATCTTTTTTCGTTAGTCTAAGTGTGTTCCTTCTTTATTACCAGAGAAGTATTAGTGTGGGATAAGTATTACTATTGTTTGCACTGCAATGTGATGCACAAAAAAAAATGGGTAACATTTTCAAAGCACTTAGTTTAGTCTATTTCCCATCTTCAGAACTGCTTTGGAAATGAGGGTTGTTTATATATGT